ATTTTTCTGAAGGAAGACATACAAATGGCCAATAAGCACATGAAAGGAGTTAAATCACTAATCAGGAAAATGCAAATTAAAACCACAAGGAGATATTACAACCATCAGAGTGGCTATTATAAAAAAGACAAGAGATAATTAGTTCTCCCCAAGTGTGTGGAGAAAAGGGAAGCCTTGTGCACTGCTGGTGGGAATGTAAACTTGTTACTGGTACAGCCACTATGGAAAACAATATGAAAATTCCTCAAAAAGTTAAAAATAGAACTACCATAAGATCCAGCAATTCCACTTCTGGGTATATATCCAAAGAAAATGAAATCAGGATCTTGAAATGATATCTGCACTCTGGTGTTCAATGCAGCATTATTCACAATAGCCAAAATACGGAAGTTCCACTAATAGATGAGAAAATAAAGAAGTGGGACATATATGCAATGGAATATTATTCAGCCATGAGAATGCTCACACTTGTAACTTGAATGAACCTAGAGGGCATTATGCTAAGTGAAATAAGTCAGACAGAAAAAGACAAATACTGTATGATATAACTTATACATGTAATCTAAAAAAGACAAATTCAGAGAAACAGAATAGAGCTGGTAGTTGCCAGGGGTTGATGGATGAGGGAAATGGGTAGGTGGTGGTCCAAGAGTACAAACTTCCGCTATAAGATTAACAAGATCTTATATGGCATGTCAATTACAGCTGATCATTCTGTATCATATACTTGTTAAGAGATTGTAAATCTTAAATGTTCTCACCACAAAAAAGAATTAGTAATTACATGATAGGATGGAGGTAGTAGCTGATACTATGGTGGTAATAATTTTATAACTTATAAATGCATAAATCAACACACTATACACCTTAGACTTGTACAATGTTATGTGCCAATTATAGTTCAATAAAAATGGGGGAAAGACAACCTAAAAGTGAAAGAAATAATGATGAGATGGCTTTCCTCCTTTCTCCCTGTAGCTGGTGATCTATTACTCTATTTTTTTCTGTCAGAGTAGCTGACTTCTGTTTTTCTTTTACCTGCAGTACCCCTTGCCCTCCCAATGCTGAATAAATCTTTTAGAAAAACAGTTTATGTACCTTTGTAACTTCAAATACTACTCACATACACAGCATGTTTTCTGAAATAGATTTCCCACTAGCTTACTGGTGCCGGACCAGAACTCAGAGGCACATGTCTACATCAGGAAGACTTGGTGCTGAAGATCATCAGTCTCTGCTCATTTCTCTACAAGGAGGAAGGAGGTTATTTTTTCCAGCTTGGACTTAATGTTTAACAATCTGTAAAGGATCTTTTTTTCGGCCAAGATAAAATGTAATTAGGACAGGTAAAATTTATTATGCTTGGATCATATACTACTTTTTTTGTCTGTTTTGTATCTCATTCTTTAAGGAATACTCCTCCCTCCTCTAGGTGATTAGGAAAGGGCTATCAACCACGTGGCCTGACATCACCCACCACAGAAGTGGTGAGCCAGACTGGACAATCAGAAAGGCCCCTTGACCTCCAGGTTCCTCCCCACCCGAGCCACATGGTGCTCTAGAACAGGTGTGTGGCTGAGTCGGGCTGACCAGAGCCAGTCCTGGGGACTCTTAGGGATGGCGAGAGAAGGCCAGTGCTGCCGAGCCTGCTGTCTGGAAGGAAGATGTCAATCTAATATCTAAACTTTAATCTGAGTTGGGCTTCTATTACAACCAAGAGTCTTGTTTATTATAGTACCAGAAAACCTCAACCAATTACTTTCAGTCCTTCTATTTTTTCCCTGCATTAATGCTTTTTTCTACTAAAGAAGAATCCTAGATTGTAATCCAACTCAGTAGCTAACCTACCAGGGAATCCTCACTGAATTCTGCTACGGTATCCTAAAGTGATAAAGCAAAGAGGTATCCTAAAGTGATAAAGCAAACAAGTCCCACAAGCCTGAAGACAGCACTTCTGAAGAAAATTCCAGAAACCTGTTTTCTCTGGGAATGCAGTACACGATGGGAGGAACACAGGCGTCAGAGCCTGAGCACAGTTTAAACCCTGTCTCAAGCACTCAGTGGCCATGGGAACCATTCAGCCTCTTGAAATGTGTCCTCACGCAGACTATGAAGACAATAATCATCTCATAAGCTGAGTGAGCATAAGAGGAACCATGCGTCATGTATTATACGTACTCAGTGTATCTACTCATACTCCTTTTCCCAGCTCAACTTGGTGGTATTTTTTACTTTTCAGATTAATAACAAAGAGCTAATTTTAATCTAACATTTATCATGTTCCACACACTATTGGAACTGCTTTACACTGACTCATTCAGCCCTCAAAACCCAATTAGGCGGGCATCGCTATTATCCATCGTTGTCTGCCAAGGCACAGAAAGATGGGCCTTCACACTCAGTCTCAGACAGGACAGAAGGCAGGGAGCCAGGTTCTAGAGTCTGTAGTTTAGCCACTAAACTATGATGCCTGTGTCTCAGTTAGTAAATACATCCATGTCAATGTTATAAACCAACTATAAATTATGGTTGATACAGTCAAGTCACTCACTTTATTTTATATGGTCTAAATAAGGAATCTTGATAGTTAAATATGGGAGTTACGAGAAAAGGAAACAGGTGGCTACTGGACCAGTCTGAGGTGCACTGCACCATGCCCTAACTCTTTCAGCAGCGCCCAGTGCCACTGTGTGATATCTGAGCACTGAGGGTGCTCTGCTCGGAAGGAGCCCACGCACAGTTCAGGACAAAGCACCAGGCAGTGGGGAGTACTGCAGACAGGCCCCTGCATGCCTCTCTGGGGAGGGAGCCTGCAGGTGACGTGGGGGAGCTGGGGCCAGTGCCTTCCAGGAGAGGAGACAACTAGTGCAAAGTTCTAAGGGAACCCTGGCTTAGTTTTAGCATAGAATGAATCCTTCCCAAAGAGCTGAGGGGTAGAACAACAGGGCTATAGGTAATAAACAAGTATAAAACATGGACATTTCTCTTAAGTATGTAACTCTCAGTTTACCAGTCTGGAGCTGACATGGGCCCAGAGTCACTCATTCCAGAATGCCTGACCTGGGACGGATCCCAGTCACTGGGTGCAAACCAGCACTTATTAGAGTGTGAACTTGGACAAGCAACTAGTAACTTCTTTGAATTCAGTCTCCTAATTTGTATATTACAGTAATAAAACTGTCTACCTTATGGGCTTGTTGTGAGAGTAAATGACACAAATGTGTTAAAGAGCCCTGCTTATTTCCTTTCTCCTGAGCTACAACCTCCCTGGTCTTTTCTTACCTCTTCAGTTAGATTTCTGCATCACACACTAACTTGGTTGAAGAATGGGCTAAAACTTGGGAACCCATAAAATTCCATTCCTTTTTCTAGTTCACCTCTCCATTGTGGAGGAGCTGAGCTGGGGAAAAGTTCATGTGGGTGAAACTTAGGGAGCTGGCCTGCGTGATCCTGTCCCAGTGCTGCAGCCATTCCTGTCTGTCCCTCTGCAGAGCCACTTCACACTTCTCTCTTTGAATCCATCCAAAGGTCTGACTAAGTCATCCCAACGGTCACTGATGGCACTGACATCCTACTCCTCCAAGCTCCCAGGAAGCCAGCAGCTGTGCTGGGTAACTCAGTCCCTCACGGCCCACCCTTGCCCTGTGTGTTATCAGGCCAATCAGATGGAAGCTCCTTGAGGCACATCTTCCACATCCTTAAGAGAATGTGGCAAAGACGAGCACATAATCTATAGGCAAAAATACATGTGGACCAATTGGCTGGACCTCGAGGGACTTTCGTTTCAAGCAGCTCTCCCAGTAAATGGCTGACTGAAATAACCCAGGCATTAAGGATGGTGAGAGACACAGCAGGCTCTGTCCAGCAGCCATTCTTGGACACAAAGGCATTACCAAAGAGCAACTGTATGGAACACAGAACAAAAATATGATACCCGAACAATACAGCATCCCTACAGCCAGCCAACTGTGCAGCCCCCTCTTCTCAGGTGGTGCTAACAAGGGGACCAGCTGCCAAAGTGGAGGGTCAGCTGTTCTCCGCTCACCACTCTGCTTCCTTTCCTGAAGCTTCGGCCAGAGCTGCCGGTTTATTCCCAATTCAGAGCCTGGATGACTGAAGCGGCCACTACTAACCACACAGTGTCCCTCCCCTGTGACATCACTGTGAGTCTCCTCAAACAAGAGGCTGCTGGCCAGTGCAACGGGCTAAAGCCCCCCACGAGGTCATACCCCACCCTCCTGCAGACACAGGGCTTCTCACTGGTATGACTCAGAAGGCTGCCTGTCATGAGGTTCCTTCAGCATCCTAAAGGAATGGGTGTAGGACTTACCAGCATCTTTGCAACCTTCTTCAATTAAATCCTGAAAGGCCTCTGATGGCTGTGTTACCTATATGCATAATTCTCTACCTTCTGCCAAGGAAGGTCTTTTCACTATAAAAACAACCAATGTTACCAAAGGCCAGGGCTTGAAAGCTACAGTAAATTAGATTTAGGCCCTGGCAGTGAGCTCTCAGTCCATCAGAGGCTGACACTACAGAGGTGGACGCACTGGTGCGACTCAGTCATGCTCTGAAAACCCAGGGGCACAGGATCTGTTCCCACTTTGCTGCCACTGACTTGAGGCAAGAAATAAGAATTCCATAGGTCTGTGATTCCCTTCTCCAAAGTAAAGACAAAAATGGCTCATCCTCATTGTGTCCCTTTACCTTCAGATCCCACCAAGAGGTAGGAAAGCAAGTTGTTGGAAGCCAGGAAAGCGGATTAGGTGACTATATGCACTTCAGCAATCATTACTGAGTAATGCTATGGTATGGCTTGGTGACCTCGGAGATGGATACACTTATAACAAAGTCTTAGAGAAAAAATAACAAGATATGGGTGGGAAGAATTAGGCAGAATGTAAGCATGCATACGCAAGACCACAGTATGAGGCCCTAGGATGCGCTCAAGTGGGACGTCCCTAAGCTCAGTTAAGCATGGCCCTGGCGAACACACCCACCGTCCTCAATGTCGTAGGCATAGGCTGAAAGGCGCAGGGTGGTGGCGCAGTATTCGCATTTGAAGCAGCTCCGGTGGAAGAACTTGCCCTCGGCACTCAGCCTCTCCATCACATAGACCCGCTTCTGGCAAAAATAGCAGGTGTCACTGCCTCCCAGGTTCTGTGGGAACTCCTTCTTTATTGAGCTCTGTAAGGGAAAGGGTGCGGGGAGGTACATAAGGGCCACGCCTCTCAGGCTCGACTCCAGGAGGCACTTGACCCTCTCCATCAGGGCAGCGGGACCTCACTAAGCAGTTTTGTGTGGAGACAGATGAAGAAGGCTCCCCGAGAGCAGCAGCGGGGCTTCGATGCCTGTTGCATGGGCCCCGGCCAGCACTTGGCACAGGGGTCCTGAGCCCAGGCCAATCACAGCCAAGAGGAAGTCCAAGTCCATTTACAGAATTTCTGACAAAACAAATAACTTTGACAGAATTCTGTTTGGAAGGTAGCATAATACATATTCAGTGTTTGTGCGGTTCTACTAGGATGTGGGTTCTCTGGAGTCCAGAGCATACTAGAGATACCAAGTATGCTTTTCCATGCAACATTCTGAACTATTTCATTCAGTCCTAGAAATTCAATTACAAAATTCAGACAATCTAAAAAAAAAAAAATCACCCCATGGCATATCCTAAGTTGCTTAGAACCATCCAGGTGCTTCCACAGCTGCGTTACATCTAGACAGACAGTGACCTCCATCCATCTCTTACCAGTTCCTTCTTGTCTAGAAGGGTTTTGGGCTGTTCTTTCCTTTGAAGCTGATTGGCTATCTGCTCAGCCAATGAGCTCACTCCGCCCGTGTACATCTTTATATACTTCTATTGGTTGGAGATTACAAAATGACCAGAATGAAGGGAAATGAGAAGGAAAAAAAACAAATTAAGAAGACAGGAAAAAAACCTTTCAAAGATGTAAAATGAATCCAAGGTGCAGAAGCAAACCATGCTGACCGTGCCCACAGCAGGGACCCCTGGTGCCTGTGCCACACAGTGCCAGTAAGGAGCACCTGGTCTCCCATTTCTGCTTGGAAGGTCTGGTGCTGGGAGTGGCGAGGTGAGGTGAGGACACGGACGAGAACACAGACGAGAGTGAGAAGGGTTTACAACCCAGTGACTCAAGCACATGAAAGAATCAAGATAGCAGCTCCCACCCAAGCAGCCAATGCCCAGGCTGGCAGCATGTTTCAAGGGCCTAGGAGAGGCCTTGGAAAGTTATTTCCTCATTATTTCCAAGCTCAGTCTTACGAAGGCTGACTCTCCACTCTCCAGCCTGCTATTATTTGTGATGATCTCCTTCCTTGTTATTAATATATTCATAACCCTTCACGTGCATCAAATATTACTGAGCTTTATCTGGAAGAAGGCTTCTCAGCCTGTTCTCCATTATATGCTCTACCCACCACTAAGACCAAAGCCATCCAGACTGCATCAGTGTCTTAAACACAGCTGCAGGTATTAACACCTGCAGCCATGTGGACAAGTTGCTCAGTTTAGTCTTGGGAAGTAAGAATGTGTTTCCAGTCCAGGAGGGATTATTTTTATAGGTTGATAAAAGATAAAAGAAAAAATGCAACCAATTCAATCCTCTTTCTAGCAATGTTGAAATAACAGGAGAAAATCACCAAATTTCAACCGTAAGCCTTACTGCTACGCAGACCAGCTCTGAGCCAGTCCAAGGCATGAGGTCAAGGTCTTGCTGCCAGTCCCTTAGACTCCATGCCCAGGTCACCCTTCAAGGTGATGATGGCCAGGATAGCTGATATGTGGAGCACTCCTCTCATGAACTGTGTGGAACAAAGGACTGTCCTGCTCGTCCGAGCAGCCCTGCCTCTAATTCTGACTCAGAAACACAGCAGGTGTGACTGTCCTGGGGATGTCAACAACCTTATTAGGAAGCAGTGTGAGTGGGCAGACATACAAAGCCATGCGTAGAGAATCACTGGCCTGGGCAACGGCCTGCCCTGGGCTGGGCAGGGACAAACAAGACATGTTCTGTGTAAATGGAAACAACAGCAGAAATGAACAAACAATTCTCCCAGGTTCAGCCGGAACTGAAGGGGGTCAACTGTATTTTTCAACTTAAAATAAGCAGATTTCCAAGGACTGGTGCCACTGGATCATTAACTCCACAGCTTATATCCATTAGTGGTAAAGAAAAGTAGCTCTTAGATCTAAACTTTCTTTAGACTGGGAACATCAGAGGAGCTCAGGTCTGGAACAGAGAAACACCAGGCAGAGCTGAGCAGATCATTTAATAGCTGATGCAGAGGGAGCAGAAAACTGTACTTTTTATTCTGCAGCAGACAAGTCAGAGCATGGCCCAGAGTCAGACAGGAGGTGGGACACTGAGAAAGCCAGAGTCCTCAGAGCTCAACCAGGACCCTTCTCTCTCACCAGAAACTGGCATCCCCAGCAACTACAGCCCAAGGCTGCCCACATGCAAAGGCATCGGTCACATTCCGTTTGCAGCGATATGATACTGACAAACATGCCCCTGAGGTGGAAGTTCAAGTTCTGCTTGTTTATGGCATAAAAAGCAGATGGCTTCCTTCTCCAAACACGTGAAGAAAGGGTGGGCATGTAGCAGTTGCTGACTTGTGCACCGCACAGTCCGCTCCAGGCTCAAGGGTGAAAGGACCCTCAGTCTGTGCACTGCTCCACAGCTGGAGGCCCCACCACAGGAGGGCAGGGGCCATTCCTTAAACGACTACCACTCAAAAGGCACCCAGAACACTGCACACTCACCACTACATTTAAGAGAGTTAATTACACTTGGTTCATATTTTGTAACACATATGAAATAGACATTTAGGGTATATAAAGCTAATGGTTGAAAAATGTTTATCGTTATCTGATTATCTGATATAGTTTATCAGCATTTCAAATATAATGAAAGTGGGTTTACTTCCACAGAATTGATGCAACAATGAAAGCTAGCAGCCTCCACAATGTGGGTTGTGCCTCGAACCACACAGACACACACACACACACACACACACACACAAGCGCACACACAGCTGGACCCCTACAGAAGGCAGGCTAAAGTGCAGAGCTCTGCAGCCTCCTTCAGGCAGCAGACACTTGTGCAGGTGAAGTGAGTGGAGGCTGGAGAGGACGCACGGCTCTGCCAAGGCCCAGGCCGAACTACCTGCCGGACGGAGTCAGAGGAGGGAGAGGCAGGGCGGCTGGAGGAGCGGAGACTAAGAGAAAGCTCCCACTGGTCAACAAAAAATCCACGAGAAGGTTCAGGCTCTGGCTATAAAATACAAGATGGGAGAGGAAACATCAAAGGATATGTTAAAGACAAAGTTACACACTGACTTGAACCAAAGGGAGCTGGCAGTTTCAGACCCTTTACTTAGACCTGTATCTAGGGAACAAACGTCGTGAAGAGGGCGTGGTTCCCGAAGGTGTGACCAGCTCGTGTGGGGCCTCCATTGCGCCTGCCTACAGTGAAGCCTGCACTGCAGTACGGTCCCCAAGCCCTCAGCAGCCTCCAAAAGCCTCTTCTCTGCCTGGCGCTCACCCCACCTACCCTGAGTGGTGGTGGGCCCGCCAGGGGGCTGAGGAGGTGTCTGTTCACACACACCCTCCACAGAGCCCCTCAATGGAGAGCGGGGATTTCTCCTGGGCAGGAGATTCTACCGCCCCATCACTTACAAATAGCAGCAAAGGAGACAGTAACCTAGGGTGCAGCTTGGTGCTTTTCCAGAAAGACCAAGAATGTGGCCTCTGTCCTTCCTGCACTCGTGCCCAGAGAAAACCCTGCCCAGCCGGGGCCAGCTGAGTCCCAAGAACGATCAGGGGGGCAGAATTGGGGCGCCAAGTGCTCTACAGGCTGCATGCAGCATGTGTAGCAAAAGTGGGCCAGGGTCTTGCTCAGGGGTGGGCCTATGCAGCCAGAAGCTGCCCAGTCCCGAGAGAGAGAAAGTAGCTCTCAAAAGCATCTAGGCAGGAGCTCCCCACCGAAGCATCTGGAAACCAGCCCACTGGGAATATGAAAGAAAACTCTGCAAGCCTTATTGTTCCTGAGCTCAAAACCCCATCCTTCCCCTGGTGTGTACTTTTCTCCCTTCCCTGTTATTTACTGTCTCATTAAAAGTCATCAGGAGTTTACTAAAGATGCACTGCCCCAAAGGCAGGGCACTGCTCTGCCCAGTGAGCATGTCTGGTTCTCCTCTGGAGAGGAGTACAGCCTGGGGAGGAGGAGGAGAGAGGCTGGGCACACAGTGCTGATGGGGGGAAGCACCCCAACATGAGAGAGCTGAGTGGGGTGAGGCCGTGGTAGGGGATGGGGAGGCTGCTGCCCTCCACGCCTGGCTCGACCACCCAGCACCCATCCTCACGGCAGCTCTGAGGCCACCCACCTCAGTTCCCTGCCGGGGCGGAGGAAGACAGCACTATGAGTAGCTTCCTAGGGACCTATGAACTAAATGGACTGACTGCTCTTTCTCAGAGAGAAAGGGCAGAAGGGGAGGTAGAAATGAAAGAGAAAGGCCCCTGCGAAATGAACAGCTGGAGGTGACTCTCCACTCCTGCTGCAGAGCTGTGCCCACTGGGGGTTCGTCTTTAAGGGCAACAGTGTTTTGCAACAGAAGCAGCACTTTAGAATGGGCACTCCTGCTTTTCACCTACCCAGATGACAGCTGGGCATCACCAGTCCTTGCCCCCTTTTGGCTCTGCAGAAGGGACTGGGCAGCTCCCTGAGCTGATCACGGAGCACCCCGTCTTGTCATCCCCCTCTCCCTCTATCTTCTTCATACTGAAAACCCCCACACTGCTAGGAGCTGGGGCTCTCTCTGTGTTGCTGCCTCAAGAGCCCTGACTGTCAAAACAATAAGCAATGCGACCTACTGACTGACTTGTTCTCCCTGAGAAGCTGTACCTGATAGTCAGGTGCTATAACCACCACTAGCCCGTATTTTGGAATGGGAGAGGTGGATGGAAATGGGAAGTCGTTTAGGCCTTTCACAACACAGATTCCTAGGGTTCATATCTGATCTGCATGCTCTATGGTGAATACTGTTTGCACGGGTCAACACCGTTAGCAAAACAACTCCTGGCCAGGTGACAAGTGTGCAAAAAGTGAGGAGGGCACCATCCACACCCCCCTCGACCCCCGCAGCATGCCCCATCGTCTGGCCCTCAG